GAAAAATTTAGCGTCGTAAATACTTGGTTTAAATTACCTCCTCGACGACTGTACACCTGGACCTCGCCACAAGACGCTGACAACAATATCGTCAGGAACCAAATTGATTACATCTTAATTAACATCAGATATAAGTCAAGTGCCCTCAGGGCAAAAACGTACCCTGGAGCTGACATATCATCAGACCATAACCCAGTGACAGTAACACTACGCCTCAAACTGCGATCAGCAAAACACACAAGAGCAACAAAAAGATTTGATCTGGAGAAGCTGAAGAATAATGCCTTCAGGCAACAATTACAGTTGCATCTCAACAATTCAATCAGATCGATCGAAGCAGCAACAACAGACGTACAAGCGTTCGGGAGTTCACTGAAACAGTGCATCAACGAAACAGCAGAAACCCTGCTGGGACATCAGGCACCGAAAAAGAAACAACGGTGGATGACCCAGCACATTCTAGATCTAATGGACAATCGGAGAACACTCAAAAGTGATAACAACCGGGAAAAATACAAAGAAATACAACAAAAGATCAAACAAGAAATACGAAAGGCGAAGGAAAAATGGATGGAAGAGCAGTGTGCAGAAATTGAAAATCTAATCAAGAAAAATGATAACTTTAACCTGCACAAGAAGCTCAAAGAAGCTGGAAGCATCTACAAACTGACTCCTATCCCAAGCTTATATACGGACAACAATCAACTTATATTAAGCAAACAAGCCAAACTTGACACCTGGAAGAACTACATATACAATCTGTTTCGCGCCAATAGAAAACCAGCAGAATTGCAACAAGTGCAGGAAGACAATCTCCACATACTAACATCTGAAGTGGAACATGCCATTAGTAAAGCAAAGCCAGGCAAGGCCTGTGGACCTGACCAGATTCACGTGGAACTGCTGAAGCAGCTGGACTACAACAACATCCAACAACTAACAAAATGGTTCAATCAAATCTACAACAACAATGTTATTCCATCTGACTGGCTCCAATCAATCTTTGTGGCCCTACCAAAAAAGGCTACCAGCCGAAAATGCGAAGACTTCAGGCTGATCAGTTTAATGAGCCAGGTGCTAAAAGTCTTCCTCAAGGTGATTCAGCAAAGAATAAGATGTAAATGCGAACGTGCACTAGGAAACACACAGTTTGGCTTCTGCAGGGGGCTGGGCACCAGAGAGGCAATTTTCTGCTTACAAATACTGCTACAGAGGTGCTATGAACATCAAAAAGAAGTGTACATATGTTTTATTGACTATGAGAAAGCCTTTGACTCAGTGGACCACGGCCGCCTAATTAATCAACTGAGAAAACTTGGGCTTGAAACTAACGATATCAACTTTATCACCACTCTCTACTGGAATCAAACAGCCCGGCTCCGCTATGACAACGACCTGACAGACCCAATCCCAATACAAAAAGGCGTCCGGCAGGGCTGCCCATTATCTCCCATTCTTTTCAATATCTATTCGGAAATGATTTTTGACCAAACACTGGCCGACAGGGAGATCGGCATAAAAGTTAATGGACACTACATCAATAACCTAAGATATGCCGACGACACAGCATTAATAGCGGATTCCGAACAAGATTTACAGACTATCTTGAATGAAGTGAACACAAAAAGTCAAGCATGGGGTTTACGAATCAACAAAAAGAAAACAAAGGTGATGAAGGTCAGCAGGACTCCTAGCGAAATCACGATCAAATTAAATAACGAAAAGTTGGAGCAGGTACACCGCTTCAAGTATCTTGGAGTACTAATTGATGACCAGCTGAATCACGAGACCGAAATCAAGAGCAGAATCGAACAAGCCAGGCAGGCATTTACCAAATGGAAAACACTCCTTACCGACAGAAGCTTGAATATCATGCTCAAATTACGCACATTGAAATGCTACATCTGGCCAATTCTACTCTATGGTGTAGAAACTTGGACTCTAACAGCAGCCACTACAAAAAAGCTCCAGGCCTTCGAAATGTGGCTCTACCGAAGAATGCTGAAAATTCCGTGGACGGAAAAGATAACCAATGCACAGGTCTTGCAGTACATGCACACGGACCGGGACCTGATCAAAACCATCATCAGCAGGAAATGCAAATACCTAGGCCACATTGCTAGGAACTACCAAAAATACCATCTACTGCCACTCATCCTGGAGGGCAGGATTGAAGGCAAGAAACGTCCAGGTAGACCAAAAACGGCCTGGCTAGATAACATCAACACCTGGTTTCACATGACAACAGCACAAGTTCTACACACAGTGCTAGACAGAGAACAATATCAAAATGAAGTCGCAAACGCCATTCGGCAGCATTAAAGAAGAAGAAGAAGTCAATATCCCGGGGCTGGCTCCACATTTCAGGTTGTTTGATTCAACAGTGCAATCCGTTATGTCGTATAGTGCTCAGGTCTGGGGTTTGGCTAATGCTAATAATTTTGAGTTAACTCATAGAGAATTTTTGAAGAAAATACTGGGCCTCAGATATCACGCATCGAATGTGGCTGTTTTGTGGGAAACTGGGTGGGTACCACTGAAAATCTTTTTTATAAAAGCAGTTCTAAAATATTATGTAAGATTGTTGGAATTGCCTAGGGATAGGCTACCTAGAATTAGTATCGAAAGAATGTGGATGAAAGCGGAGAGTAATTCATGGTGGCTGGATTTCAAAAATTGGTTGGAACGGCTGGGATTCGGTGAAATGGTTACCGAGAAACAAATTGATAGATGGAAAGAACGAATACCATCTATAGTTATGAGATGCATAGAACTAGAACTACAGAAAATGAAGAATGTGCTGAATAGTTCTGGGTTGCTACGATATTATCGTCCGGTTAAACCTGATTTTGGCATGGCAGGGTATTTAAGGGATGTTGGAATCTCAAATGCGACGAAAAAACAGATTGCGAAACTGCGGTTGAACTGTTTTATGTCAAGAAGTGCTTCTTTGGTGTGTATAATTTGCAACCAGATCTGTAGTTAGTGATTGGTGCTTTCATATGTTTAGTAATTGTGGAAATGATATGTACGGGGAATACTTAAGAATGTTGCGTAGTGGTTTTAATTCCGGTTTCGTGGATTTAAAATTTAACAAGATGTTAAAGAAATTAGATGGTTTGAATTAAGCGAATTTATTGTTTTGTTTTCCCCCCTTTGATATTGTATTGAATTATATGTCAAATAAACGATTATTATTATTATTATAGAGCTTATCATTCTGGGATCAAAACGTCATACGAAGGACGTAATGACTGGGAACGCCATACGAAGCACTTTTTAGCTGTAAACCTAAAGTAGGGCTTACAATGTCTTTTCTACCAGAAGATGTTTTAAAAGACAAATACAGAGGAGCAGCTAGAAAAAGTAATAGAAAGTGTCGAAAACAATGGAAAAAAGGTGAAACTAATCGGATTATGCAAGAAAAAGAGCCTGTTTTAAAAAACATGGATGAGATTATAGTCGTTAGTGGATTGAACCAATATGATGAAGACACGCTTACCGAAGAGATTTCCGTTTCTGATACCGTTTGTGTGTTTTTAAAGGAAACGAGTGATGCACTTGCGTGCAAAAAATGTCGTCAAAAAATTCATACCGTCTGTGGCCATTCTAGTAAAAATGATGAAATGGATATTTTGTGCACCCTTTGTTTTAAAACTGAAAATACTATTGAAGGTAAAATAAATTTTAAAATCAATCTGGAAATACAAACCAAAAAAATTTCCCACTGCTTCTTTGGGAACTATTGCGCGAGTTCCTATTCCTGACATCGACAAGGGGCTTGGTGATTCGCGCAATTTATCGGCAGTTGTAATGAGTGTGACAGAGGATGGTTTCTACCGACTCGGAACTTCTGAAGGAATTTTAAAACAAGTATATGCGAGATCACAATTCACTTTATGCCCTAAGAACTTGCTTAGAATTGAAGATATTCCTGACCATAAAATTCCTCTCCGATCAGTTGCAATTGCTCAGTCCAGTGGAAGTGACCAAGTATTTGTCAAATGTATGTGTAAAACAAAGTGCGAAAATATGAAATTTGCGTGAAAAATGTAATGAAGTGTAATTCAAAATGTCATTCGAGCCTACCATGTTGTAACAAGTGGGCTAATTTTAATTTCTTATTTTTTATATGAAAATTTTGTTTCCCTTAATAAGAAAGGCATAAATTTTGTTTTGTACAACTTTCATTTTTCTTTACGTATGTGAATAAATTTTTTAATGGCACTCTCATTATTTTTTCAGAATAACATTTGTATTTTTGAGGAATGCGTGTCGTTTATATAATAGTCTTATCAGGACCTTTCTTCATACTTTGCCTAAATAGCATTTGTCATTCTATAAAATGCCTAGGTATTATATGCAATGCCCAGGGTATGTATGTAATAATTCTCATATTTCATACATTGCCTAAAATCGCCAGGCATTATATACAATGCCTAGGTATTCTATAGAATGCCGGCTTTTTATACATTGCCGGTAACATATATATTAGAGCAAGGAATTTGTTTATAAAATATGCTTTTAAAAATAACTCGCTATGTTTTTGAAATATCAAAACTCCTTTAACAATCAGTTATTTAAGCGTTATTGATAAGAGCACCGAGTGGCATCGATATGCCATGTGGGATATTCAGATTTATGTCTCAGATGAGTACCAGAGTTTGATTCGGTTCCTACGCTGTATGGCGCAGATCCTTATCATGTGCTGGTGACTGCATAGAGAGCGTAATCAGGTACCCATTGCTCTACAAGCCTCCGTGGCATGAAAAATACCTATCTCCAGAGAAAAGAATGTTTTCAGAAAATAAATTAAATTTAAAGTAGAGCAGTCCTCGATGGTTAAATTATATTTAAAAAAAAAGACATATCGAGTGACCCCTTATACATAATTCAATAAACATTTAATTTCATTGTAAAAAATTTGTCAAATTTTTCTATACATTGAAAATAAAAAAAGCATAATTAATTTTTTTTGATAAAATGAAAAAGTATCTTACCGTCGGCCGGTTCTGTCGGAATAGACCATCGACGACCGTAACAACTATTAGAAGTACCACCTCTAAGACCGCCTCTAGTCTCCACTATATCACTAACATTTGTCAGTTGTCCGGTCCTTAGCACTACGGGGGCCGAACCACGCCTTCTCATTAAACCTCCGGAAGACAGACTATTGACAGAACCTTTCCAAATGACGGGAGAATCGAAATCGGGTCTTTCGGATTGCGATCTGTCGGCCGATAGACTTCTGCTGATGTGTGAGCACCATGAAGTGATATGCTGTTCGAACTGGCTGATATTTTTATTTTTATGGACAGAAAATTGCTGCGGAGATAGGTTGGCTTCGTTTCTGAGCATGTCACTTTCTGACTTCAAGCGAATGAGCTTCTTTGGTTTATCGACTGGAGATAAATATTTTTCGTTTACGAACGACGTCGATTCCGAAGCAGAATGTTGCATGACACTAATTTTTGTTTCTACGCAGTCTTTAATGCAGGAAAGAGCGCGAGGATCTAATGCACTTGAGGAAAATGATGATCTTTCTGATTGTCTCTCGGCAACGGCTATCGGAGAAACGTCGCCCGCGGATCCATTTCTAGACGAATCCGAGCTACAACAGCCATTTGTACAACTGGATTGCGAATCCGATTCTATCTCTTCCTCCGCAGGTGTAACTTCTGGCGCATCTTTTTCGGTCGCCTCTGGAGAAACTACATCTAGCGGTTCAACTTTAGAACCGATAATGGGCATCATGTAAGGAGGATAAGATATAGGTTGATGAACTAGTCTTCTTTCCACCTCGACAGCGATATCCATCTTCCTCAACAGAGACATACGAGTACTTCTAGACAGCGACATAATAGTCGCTTTTGGCTGAAGATGTTCCGCTGATAGAGTGCGCAACGATATATTTGGTGAACGATGCAATGGAAACGACGAAAACCCTTCGGTTTCCGGCATGACCGTTCGAGGATGAAGAACACGTGGAAAACTCTGTCTCCTGATTGTTGTCCTCGGTAACATTTTAGGAACACTAAGTGGCATACTCTGTCTCCTCCCCCAACTAGGATTCATACTATCCTCGTCCCCAGACAAAAAAGATTCGTCCGCGGACGGACCCAAATGTTCATTTACTTCGTCCAATTCTTCTTCGTCGGCAGTGCTACATCCTTCCGGCTCGATAATGGGTTTAATTTTTAATTTTTCTTCTCTATCGACAACGATTCGCCATTCATTGTGGTTGTAACAGAGATTATCGAGCAGTTGTTGCGACAAAGACGTCTTCAAAAATCGATGCCAAATTTCGAACAACGGCGTGACCACAAATTTGAAGAAATCTACAAATGAACCAGAAATGTTTATAAAACGGGTTAAAAGCACGCAATATTCCTTAGAATAATGTAAAAATAATATGTCTGGTGAATTTGGCGATTTCATACCTGCTTGTATTTTGGCAACAGTAGTTTTTGTGCGGTCACACAATGGAGTGACTGGAAGATTCAGCTGTCTCTCGTAATCACCTGTAAATACACAAAATAATTCAAAATTGTGGTTTGGATAAAAATATCTTGAAGTTTTAATTTCAAATATTTCCAAGAAGTAATTATAAAAAATGGTGGGGTTTCACAGATACGTAACTCCATCAGTTTTCTGTGACAAAATGTACTCGATTCATCACTTAGCTATCTATTTCATTTCGTATAGGATGGTCATTATTTCTCTTTGTGTCTGCTTGGAGGTGCTGCATTGGACATGCTACAAATGTAAACCATCTCCTTCAATGGCCACCCGTTCCCGAACCTAATTCCATGCGACTTCTTCCTTGGGGATGCACAAGACAATAGTTTACGCATCCCAATGCGTCGATCCCTTCAGGAGATGGATCCGGTGCGAGATGAATGTTGTGGAGAATCACATAGGACACACTCGAACGAGTCTGCCTACTGCTTGAATTTGTGCCGAGTGACCTAAGATGTGCATATACACAGATTATTAATGGAATAAGACAGCGCCGATCTGTCAAGGAAAAGTGCTTCCTGAAAAGGCTTTCCATGGGAAACTGGCCCCTATTTAAGTGTGTAAACGTCAAGAAAGTCAAATCCGGAAAACTCTACGTGGCTAGCCCTTTGGTCAGGCTCGAACTTACGACTTATCGAAGTGCCAGTGTTCAGTGGTTTTATTCACTCGGCCACTGGTGAGCACTCACAGAGGGACTGAGTGACGCACATCACGCTTGAATTTCCGATAGAGACGTGTCACGTTTAAGATATGGTTTGTGAAATCCCACCATTCTTTTATGAATACACTGTAAAATATGGTAAAAATATACAAAGTATTTTTTAATCGACTATTCATATTAATTAAAATGATATTCTAATAATCAACACACAAAACATTCAGGTTGTTCTATAATAGAAAGCAAATTAAGAACTGAAAAATGATATACAAACTTAAATTGGAGTAAATGAAATATGAAATATAAACATTTGCATAATTTTAGTTTTGTTATATTAAAAACAACTTACTTTTTATGACAACTATTTACAATAGGAAGTCGTCCATTAATTAAGTGCACGGTTTAATGGGATGAGGATCGCGAAGTTTCATTGTACACGAAGGGATGGGAGGAGGTCGAGCCATTATTTACGTGGACTTTTTTAGTGGCATACGAATTTTTTTCTTATAAACCAGTGGCTCTCAAACCTTTTTAGGATTTCTTGAGTGATGGTCTCTCTACAATTTTTTAGATTGCTCGCAGACCTTTTAAAATTAACTACATTAACATATAGGCTACTGTTACCAAAACATTTTTTGACATTTATTTATTCAAAAAATGGCAAATCGTAGTCATCAAATGCACATTCAATGGGATGGGTGCATCTGCTTTGCCCGAAGTGGCCCCCCGAAACCGATTCGAGGACTCCAGTTTGAGAACCACTGTTAAAAACCTATTTACTATTCAGTGACTAGTAGTCGCATGAATAAACTATCGGTTAAAAAAGTTCTGCAAATATTTTCTTAGTCGGAGGGTCCGTGAACTATCGTACTGTACAGTACACGTAATTAATGGGGAAGGGCGCATCCAACAGGGGAGGGTAAAAATGGCTCAAAAACTATACGCGACGTTCACAAATTTTTTTATACAAATGGTGTTACATATAACACAATTTAAATACCACACACAACGAATTTATAAAATGATAAAAATTTATGTAAATAATTAACCAAGATGTTCAACAACTTTTGATAATCGAGTGATGTAACAATTAGATGCGTAAGCGTGTGTTGGGAATTTTACAAATTATCTAAATTTCAATAAATTAATTTCTTAAAGTTCTCGACAGATGGCAGCATGTCCGCAATATGATTAAATGAGTGTAATTGTAGCGCATTAATTTTTGACACTTAATTCTGAGTTATTAAATTGTTACCAATTATCTAATAATTGAAATATATTTCCCCCGAATCCTTCCTCCCAAAATATTTAACATATACTCTGAACAATTTCGAAACTCCCCATCAAAAACACTATAAAGTGGATATAATTCTACAATATTAAGTGATAAACATCACACGAATCTTTTAATTAAATTATGCTACGAATAAGCTACACTGTCATATCACACTAAATTTAATAATTACAAAAACTGATTTACTTAACTAGTTAATTAACTTGGATGCAGCATGATTTGCACACTAGACAGATTGTTAATTATGACACACCGTTATTCTTGTCTTCCATTTCAAACTGTATGCAATTTAGATTACTTTACGATCATACGAATTGCTAGCATTGCATTGGAGTTATTTACTTTGAAACCTGCATCATACTGATTTTCCACATGTTATTATGATGCTTTTTGTCATAAACAGTATATAAGTTTGGTACACTGTTAGCTTTTATGTCAAAGAATAATCACACCAATCAATTGGAATGACAAAAATAAAAGAACAACTTGATTTTGAGGAATTTGAATTCCAGTAAAAGAACCATTAGTAACTTGTATAGTAATATGATAATCTAAATTACATATATGCCTGGGAAACAGATCAGAACAGTGAAAGTAGACTTTTATATGTACTTGCATAATATGTTGGAATATTTTGAATATTGCTCTATGTAAATTTTTTCAGGTGTCCTAAATTAATTAAATTTCTACTTATTTAATTTATATAAAATAGCAGCACTGATCATCTACTTCTACATTATAATAATTTAAATTAAAACTCAGAATTATTACAGAAATTTAAACAATATTTGCCTTATACAAATATATAAATACTTTAGTGGTTTTGAGTGGAGTAGGAAAATTAAACGTGTGAAATCTGTGGTGCAGACGGTTGTTATACTTTAAATTCTTTGGAGCTTCTTAGAACTGGTGCAAGTTTTACTATTTTGTTTACAGAATGAGTCATGTAACTGCAAATAGCTTAAATAATTTCATAACTTGTCGGAATATGAATTTTTTATCGTCGTATTTAATCATATTACTTGCTACCAAATTTTAACATAAACAAAATTTCACTGTCAAATAAGTTATTAATCTATTACAATAAATTATAAAATATAAGTTAAACAGCAATATTGAAATCTATCCTATTTCCAAAAAACGAGGGAAAAAGTTGTTGCATTTCTTATAACAGAAATGCAGCAACTTCACTATAATACTGAATGTGACAAGTGAGCATCTAAAAAAAAAGATATTTTTAGACATTGCATATGTATAGAAAATGACAAATACTTTTAGTTATAGAATAAGAAATAAAATGAAGATAACAGATTCTTATTTACTCAATACAATACTGATTTTTGTACTGAATAAACAAAAACCAAAAAAAGTTTATTCCAAAAATATTTTAATTAAAATATATAATTATCTAGGTGGCAAACATTTAGTTCAGGAATCCCCAATCTTTTTGACTGTTGACCTCTCTTTTTTCTAATACTGTTAATAATAATAAATAAATTTTGTTAGCAGTATTAATGGACACATTATTTTCATAGAAAACATCTACTTACAAAGTCCAAATTTATAATACCCTGAACAATACATAATTCTTTCAATTTTTGCCAATTCAAGAATTATCAAAACAAAAAAATGGAAAATGCATGTCGTGTGAATAGACTATGAACTTTTTAAAATTCTTTTAGATTTTCCATTAACTAATTTACAACATAAATTTGTTTTTGCAAATCCTCCAATTCATTACAAAAGGGTCTTGATTATTCAATACCTGATTACTTTATATTCTGTTTCATCCGACATAACCATACGATGTGCTATTTACTTGTTGTACCATAGTATATACATATTTATGAATATTATTTTGTCTACTGTTTTTGCTGTTTTGTCTATCAGTGCATCATATATCACCAAGGACAAAATTGTTGGTTTATCTGTGCTAGTAATTTAAGTTTGTATTGTATATTATAATATATTGTAACTGTGTTTATTTTTCTAGCTGCAATCTCTTAATGAAACTTTATTACTTGAGGAATGTGGCAAATGGACAGAAAGTGATTCTTTCAATTAAATAATTATTAATTTTATTTTATAACTAACTGCAAGGACCCGCTTCGCTGGGTTTTTATTTGTGAGCAAAAAGTAACGATAGTGAAGATTAAGATAATTACATTATAGCCAATCTTACCTGTTTTCACAGAATGCAAGAATTAGGTCCCCCATTTCCAGACTAATTAGAGAATTTTTACGTCCAGTCAAACGAACTATTGATCAATTTTCTGGAACGTTTACAATCGTTCTATAATCGAACCAATTCGAATTTAAATTCGAAAATTTTTAAAATCGAAATAGAAAATCTTCCACTTTCAACCACTTTCAAGCCCATATCTCCCTCACCCTTATAGCTATCGAGACGCAACCACCATAGTGAACGAATGGAGACTTGGGGCTACTACCACATACAAACACCATTCATGTGCAATGTGTAGTTTTGGCTGAAAAGTGAAATATAGGGGGACACACGTCCATTTATATATAGATTATATTTTCTTCCCATTAAATTGCAAATTTATTTATTTTTATTAGTCTAATCATTTATGTGCCAACACGTTGGCACATAAATGATTAGTACCAACAACATGTTAGGTAAAGATTATATATGAGAGTAATAAATTATTTACATGAGACAGAAATATAAATATTGGAGGATTTGGAAAATCATTTATTGTGGATTGAAATATTCTCCACATGGACCTTATAACTCTGGTTTTCAGTGTGACTTGCTATTGATTGCATTGTGGGAGGCTGCCTGCTGATGATGCTGATGATTGATCAAGGGCATTTTTTATCTATATCTCCACTGAAATGAAAGCAAGTTTAGGATGTTTTGAAGCTAATAGCTAATTTCCTATCTTCTTGTTGCATCTTGAATACTTTATTATTTCTTGAAAGCACTCTAAAGGGGCAAACTTAAAATAACTAATTATTTCTTGGAAGCATCCTGCCTCATGAAAACATAATAGTATGTATGTAGTTCATCATATACAAAAAACTTG